AGTGGCTCACACTTCCACTCTGTGACTGTAGACTGTAGTTGAGCCACAGGGTGCCTTCAGGGAAGATGCAGGCTCCTCAGTTGGCCACAGTCTCTGCTGTTCTGACTGGTTCTCAGACTCAACCAGGCAGGGGGATTGCCTGGAGGCATGCTAAAACTCCCTTTGCTGGCCCCACCTAGAGCTTCAGGGAGAACAGCCTGAGGGTTTCTAACAAGTTTCAGGTGACATGGCTGCTTCTGGTGGTCCAGGGACCCAAGTGAAGAACCCCAGGGCCATTGGAGGCTGCCATGGGCAGATGGGCCCACTATTGGTCCATTGTTCGTTTGTGGACTAGAGAAATAGTTCTTGGTACTTAAAACTCTAGCAAAAGTAAGGAAATTAAAAAGGGTAGAGAAGCAGGGATAAGGCTCAGTGGTAGAACACCCGACTAGCATGCACAAGGTCCTAGGTTCAAACCTAGGCTTTATATAAATGTTCACATTCACATGCACACACACACACACACACACACACATATGCTCCCACTAAATAAATAAATAAATAAATAAATAAATAAATAATAAAAGTATCATTTGCTCTATAAAGTGGAAAGGGGCATATGTTTGTATATGCTCAACTTGCATCTATGTCAAGTCAACACAGTCAAGCTGCTGCAGTGAGGCAGGCCCAGAACACAATAGGAATGTGCCATGTGGCTGCTACTGCTTTGAGGTTTCATGGGGCATGCCTCACTCATTTACTTTATCTGCATGGAGTGTCAGGTATTTGAAGACCTGACCCCTGCCTGCCACAGCCAATACACTGTTTAGACAACAGTAATTTGAGTTAGGAGGGGAGGCCGCAGGGTGAGAAACAGATCTCATCTCCACCCTCATGAGGCTCATAGACCAAGTAGACTAAAGAAAGAACAGAAATGCCTAAGAAGGTATCAGAACTGCAGTCATGGTGAGGGGCTGAGAAGGAGAATCATGGGGGATGTAGGGACTTCCTTAAATCTGAATGGCCAGGGACGCTTCTCTGAGGTCCTTGTCCCATGGAGGGATAGTGCTGGGAAGCAAAGGGTATCCCGGGGCCAATTTAATGATAAAAGTAGGTGAAAAGTCAGAGGGTCTGGCCTCCATTCTTGGTTCCGGATCCCTTCCTGAGCTTTGCTACCTCTAAACAGTTCGGACCTCTCAATACCAGCGCACCGCTCACCACACCCGGAGAGCAGCCGGGCCCTGAGATTATTGCCTTGATTGACTCCTTTGATCGTTGCTTCCTCTGGTCTCCAGCTTGAACCCTCAGTTCTTCGTGCCATCCCATGATGTGTTCAGGGGCTATGGGCTGGAGAATTCATTTGTTTTTCTAGAACTCAACCTCTAGGACCCCTTGGTCCTATTCATGTACAGAGGAGGAAGATCAATCTAATGCTTTCCACGCCCTAAGTTCCCAGCTAATCTGTCTACATTAGCCGGAGTCAAAAGGTAAGAATTTTGCCCTTGTCACAGAGGCCAACCAAGGTTGGGCACAAAGCAGGGAAAGGGACAGGGACGTCTGTTTGCATCTTCCCAAATGCCTGAAGGCATTTGCCTGGTTATGGTGAACAGTGGTAAAGTCTTCCTCTATTATGCCCACAGCAGACTCGTCAATCATGGGCTGGGGCTATAGTTTAGTGGTAGAGTACTTGTCTGTTACGCGTGAGGACCTGGGTTCCATCCATCCCAGAAGTACTCATGCACACACATACACAAACCAAAACAGACAAAACCCACTAAGCAATCATGACGTTTTCCCACAGAGCTCGCATGTGCCCCGGAAGCCTCTCCAAACAGTCCTTAAAGGGTGTGATGCTGACGAGTCGGGGTTGGCTTATAGACTGAAATGGATTAGCCATCCTTGTTTTAGGAAGAATTACGTGAGTGCCATCTGGACTCTGAAGTGAGAAATAGGGTATGGACCTAGGTGGGATTTGAAGCAGGATGGTACGAGCTGGACTGGGCTGGAAGCCAACAAGAGGAGATTGGGGGAGTTGCCAGGCTGTGGGCAGGGCATTCTTCTGAAGAAGGATGTGACGGCTAGGAAGCATCAGTGAGGAGCCAAGACAGAATGAGGCATAGGGACTGGGTTTCATGATGGGCCTAGCTCTCTCCTCTTCTCTTCCCTCCTATAGATGAACAGTCATTCTCTCCCCAAAGGCTGGAACACTCCTACCCACAGTGACGAGCAAATGCAGGGGGCACTTTGGATGATCTCCCTGTAAGTCAAGGAAGCTTTTCCAGACATTAACAATGGGGATCTTAGTCTCAGAACAGCAGGGCATCTGTCACAGTTGTGGTCCCTTGGAGAAGGCATAGTGATAGTGGTGACTGTAGACATTCTCGATGGGGCCAGAGTCCTAAAGGAGTTGCCTAGACATCTGCAGCCTGCACGGAGGTCTGGGCTGTGGCCACAGACTAACTCTGGGGTTCTGGACTCGTAGAGAGAAAATCAGCAGAATGGAGGAGCATCCCTGCCTCATTTGCTGACCCTAACATCCCTACTGGCGGTCTGGCTCCTGCTGGCCAGGTTCCCAGCTTTGGGATGAGGATTGGGTAGGAGCAACTCTGCAGATCACAAGCTGGGTGGGGACACTCCCACCCACCACTAGTCATCCTAGAGTTTGTTGGGTCACTGCTCCATTCTGACTCAGCCCTTGAGGGAAGGGATGCTGAGGGACTGAATCAACAAGGCCTCTCTCTCTTCCTGCAAGGCTTTCTGCCTGCATCTTGTCTGTCTGTCCTCTCTGCTCCCTTGTCAGCTTCCCGAAGGCAGGAGGAGGCTGCAGTCCTTCAGCTGGATGCCAAAGTCCAGCACTAGCCCTTGCCTGTAGTGCAGTCACACTAACCCGGGGAAGACCACATCTCCTCTCAGTCTCCAGTGAAGAGATTTGCTTGGAGGTTTGCTTGGGACATGGTGGGCCTTGGGTAGCTCTGGGGCTGGGCCTGGGTGACCTTGGAGAATTTCAAACACTCCAGCTTACCATTCTCCAAATGCCATAGCCACGTTCTTCTGCTCCAAGCCCCCTGACTGCTGTTGCTCCTGCCTGGAGTCTCCATCCGTTTGCCAGTCTCTGGCTCTCCGCTGTCCTCCCTCTCCCTGTGGCTCTGGGGAAGGCCTTTAAAGAGCCTACATGGGGACCTCTCAAGCTGCTGGTGAAAGAGAGGCTTGGCTGTCATGGGGACCACCTTTCCTCCACACCTGTATGCTACAAGACAGATTAGATTCAGCCTCTTCCACTGTTCCTGGCTTCACTGTTTAGCTTCAGGGCTCATTGGAAATGCCGGTGTGTGGTATCAGGTCAGAGCAAACTGCCCATCTAGATGAGCCTCAGTCTTCTGGCTGACTCAGTTACTCAGGAGTCCCAGTTTCCTCCACTATAAAGTGGAGTGCCTGTTCCCACCCTCTAAGGTCCTTGTGAAAGTTGTGGGTGCCGACGTACCTGCTCCCACTGCCTGTAATATTTTCCCCTGTCTGTTGCTTACATAGCTCCTGTTCCCCTTTGGGGAGAGCCTGCTCAGTGTTACCTCCTCCAGGAAGCCTTCCCTCATCAGCAATTCCAGGCAGGTGTCCCCATCGGGGGACCTTCCTCTCTTCTCTTGTAGCTCATTTGTGTATCTTCCTCATTAGACTGTGAGTTCCACGAGGGCAGGGGCCCTACCTCCTTTCTTCTCCTGGATTCCTGTACCGAGCCCCGGGCCTGGTACTTCAAGGGCATTCAGTGAATATTTGCTAAATAGATGATGGATTTAAACTACCTCCTGTGCAGTGGGGACCCAATAAAATGCAGCCCTTCCCATGGAATGTGGCCCTTGAGACCACTGAGCCTCCTGCTCTCAGGATGCTAGCGGATGCTGTTGTCAGGAAGCTCTGCTCTGCCTGGGCTGGTCTGCCTTCAGGGGTGGGATGGAGGTCGAGGAGGGAAGGGCCTCCCACACTCAGTCACTGATGTAACCAGGGGAGGAAGAGGCCAGGTAATCTGTGCCTGAGGCCTATGCCCCACCTGGGCACTGCCCAAAAGGAAGCCCAGTGTGTCAAGAACTCTTAGGTTCTTCCCCAGAAGAGGAAGATGGTGGAAATGGGTTTCCTCACCTTCCAACAGGCCATGGCTGTCCCCAAGTTCACAACTAAGGGGAGGGTCTATGCTTGTGGAAAGGAGATGATAGTTGTGTTCTGCCTGGGTTTCTGGGTCATGGTCTACATCCCCAAACTGTGCCCGGCTTTTTCATTTTCTGACCTCACAGGTCTGACTCACCTGGCCCCTTTCTCAGGCCCTCAGGTGTGTGCTTTTTCACCCATCTGGGTCTCACTTTCATGTGTCAAGTGGGACAAAGGACCTTAGGAGCTGGGTAGTATTTGGAGGGTCTGGTAGACTAATCCACACCCACTACACTTCAGTTTTTGAAAGCCTATCAGTTATATGCTCTTAACAGAATGCAGAATCCTGTCAGTTACAGGTGAACCATGGATGCTTGGCAAATGAGACACCCACACATAAAAGTTTTTGAAAAATGGTGGGGATGCAACTCTGGGGCACATTTACATGGATGGAGTGCTCCTTGAGATGGTAATGGGTGGTTTAGGGGGCAGCTGGCCACTAGTTCCTCCCAGTGCTTGGAGGATGCAGGTCTGCAGCTACCAATTTGTTGTGCAAGGCTGTGGTTAGCTGGACATCACAAATCAGTTACAAGAGTCCCGTGGTCCTAAGGAGCACAAGGGCCTTGAAGAGCCTTTGCTCTGGACCTTGTTCTGCTCAAGTAATACACTAGTATGGGGACACACTTGCCTGCCCACTCATACATGTGTGTGCATATGTATGAACCTCCATGCCCACGCTCGTAGGAACAGTATTGCAGACTGATTTTTTTTACTTGTATGGATTTCCTGAATCTATCTTGTCTTATTATTTGTTCAGGTTCAGAATGTGATGTCCAAGTAATGTCCAGAGAGAATCTTCTGTTTAATTTCTGCTTTCTTTTCAGCCATCTCCATTTTACAGGCTGGAAGACTGAGGCCCCAAGGGAAAAGTGTTCAGAAAGTAGCAGAGCCAGTAGCAACAAAGAAGATACCAGGATGTCCTGACCAGTGTTGGGACTCCCCTGGGAGGTGACATCTGCCTCAGTGGGGAATGTGATGTAAGTATTGCCTCCACTCAGCTCTCCCATTTTATGGATAGGAAAACCGACTGGGCCTCAGTCTCGCATCCAAGACCACAGAGTGAAGACGGGTAAGCTCTGAGTTGGGGCTGTGGTTTTCAGCCTCCACAGCAGGGAAATTCCAGGCCTGAAGCTGCTGCTAGGAGCACAAGGTTCATTCAGAACGTAGCTGAAAAATAGTGGTAATAAAAAAGGAACTTAAGAAACAAGAGTTCCATACAGAAGCCTGGGGACCAGCCATTCCCCGAGACTGCTCCTCAGAGCTGCCTACCCGCCCAAGGCCTTGTCCACTGCTTGGATCCTGTGGCCAGCCAGCCAGCCAGCCAGCCAGCAGCCCTGGCAGAGCCTCCCTGTGAGCCCTGCCCCCAGTCCTGCTGACACAGGCGTCCTGGCCCCTTACCTCCCAGCCCTGCCTGCCTGCTGGCAGCCTGTGGTAACAAGATGCCCTTTGTGTGTGTTTGGGGGAGGGGGCAGTGGGCAGCTCCTGTGCTGCCTCTCGCTGCTGAGTCACAGCTCCTGCCAGCTCTGGGGACAGAGAGTTGCAGGTGACTGGCCAGGCGGCAAGGAGCCCAAGACCTTGGAGATGACCTCAAACAACCCCTTCCTCAAACAGTGGGGAAACTGAGGCTGAGAAGGGGGAAGGGGGTGTCTTAGGCTTTCCTCCAGGCACTTGTCAAGGGGGAGCAGACTTCCCGTGGTCTGGGGGCTCCCAGGCTTGTGGGGACTTGGTAGTGTCCTTTGTTCCCCAGAATAGCTGTTATGTCAAGGAACACATGTGCGCAAGCTCACACATGTGCATGTGAGCAAATGAACATGTGTAAGTCTGTGATTGAATGTGTGTCAGTATGTAGGCTTCTCTAAGGTCCCCATACTTTCTCCCAAGACCTCAAGACCTGGCCGGAGGGACACTTGTCCCTTCCATCAGAGGGGACCTAGGTTTGTCCTTACCTGCTGCCTAGACAATTCCACCAAGGCAAGTGTGTATCTGTGATGGACAGTTCACTCCTTGACAAGTCACCCCTGAAACCAAGGTGACCTGTCTCTGCTCCCTGGTATAGTGCAGTGTGGGACTAACAGAGGTTCTGGCCAGATGGATGGCTCTGAGAACATGGGCTTCAGAGCCAGGCTGCCTGGGGTGGACTTCTGGCTCACCAATGACTTAGGCTCTTTGCATCCTACCTGGGTCTCCATTTCCTCATCTGTAAAGTGGGGATTCCAACAGACTTGCCTCTCGGGGTTATAACAGGAATTGGTTTTTGCCCATGAAACTCTCAGAACTCCTGGCCATCTCTGGCAGGCCCTTAAGGAGTATTAGAGTCTATTTTTATTAGTTAGTCCTTAGTGCTTTTCCTGAGCCCAAGCAAGTCCATGGGAGATGATGCAGAGGTCCGGAGGTGACTCGGGCTCCCAGCCTGGCTGCAAGTGAAGACACATTTCCTTTGGTCCCCTGACAGACAGGCAACAGGAGTGGAGGAGGCTTTCCCGGGAGGATATGCCTGTTCTGGCCCATGGCCCCCTGAATGTGGCCGCTCTGACTGTAGCTCCGGATTTCAGCTTCTCTGCCCTCCCATGGGCCCCCCAGCTATAGTGGTAGCTAGGTTTCAGGAAGGAAGACAGGGTGGCCCCTGGCTATAGCTGGGCTTCGGTGGCTTTGGCTGGCAGTAGGTTCTCTTGTGCTGCTGCTGTGTACCTCGCTTAAGGCTGGGGATGACCATCTGGGTCCCAGGGCTCTGAGGGGGCCTGCCGGCCATCTGCCTGCTTGGTATTGGCTGCTTCCGAGAAGCAGCAGGGTGGCTTGGGCAAAGCAGCCCCCCCTCACCCCCTATATACACCTTTACTTATCTCCTTTCCCTGGCTGCCATGAGGAGGATCATTTTAGTTCCCTACCTGCATTTTCCATGGGCATACACAGGGCCCAGAAGTCAGGAAGCCCAGCTGTTTTATATGTCCAGTATGTCCAATATGAAGGCAGGGAAGTCCTGTCATCCTCCTGCTTCATGCTTTCAATTTGCACAGTGTGCAATCCAGGTTGACTGAAGGCCTAGAGGTTGGCTGGGAGGAATATTATGTACTTAAGGTTGCAGGAAGCTCCCCATGACCACCTGGCCTTTACTTCTGAGCCTGGGGCCAGGTATAAATTATCTATATCCTCAATAAGACACATGTACCCAGGCCCAGGGAAGTGTTTTATGCATGGTAATGCAGGGTTACAAGAAACTGAGGGATAGTTCTCTAGAGTTGGAGGCTGGCTAGGACTGGGAGGCACCCTTGCACTCATTCATTCATTCATTCATTCATCCCATCAATTTTCTGAAGCTAGGCTCTGGGATAGCAACCTTGATAGCTGGAGTAAGAACTAAGCCTGGGCTGACAGCATGGTAAACTCTAGGGTAGGGTCTCTTAACATGGAACCCAGGAAAAGCCGCTGAAAGGCACCTCCTGGAACCTGAAGGGAAGGTGGAAGAGAAATGGGTTGCTAGTCTCACGAGACTGACACCACTATGCCTGCTGGGCGTTACCAGAGCCCTAGCCAGAAGGCATGCAATAGACCCTGTGATACCAGGACATGATAGAATCTCCAAACACATAAGTGACTTTCCTGTGGCGTTCTGGAGGAATTCCTAGAGACGACATATGAAGTCATGCCTGCCTATTTCCAAATTCTAAGGGATGATCCACTCTCCAGCTCCCAGGTTTCCCTAAGGTGAAGTTGGGAGAGGTCCTGAAGAAAGTCTGCCTTCTCTGGCTGGAGAGGAGAGTGGAGGGCCACGAGCTGTACTGAACGTCCTTTCTTACCTCCTTATCGAGAGTTCATGGGTGGCTGCCTATGCTTCTGGTTCTAGGAGAGCTTGACTGTGGCCAGGCAGGCTGGGTGCTGGGTGTATAATAAAATGCTCCATTATGGGTTGAAGGAATCCTGGGCCCTAGGAGGCATGGCCACTTAGGAGCCAGAGTCCAAGCCACTGGCAATGCTGGGTTTCTTTTCTGGGCAAGGTCATGGGCTGGCTTGAGCAAAAGGCCCCACAAACCCTGTCCCCTAGAGACCTTGGCCAGACTTCTAGCCTCCAGGAGGGTGTAGAACCAGGATCTCTCTCCCCTTGCTCCTTGTTCTCTCGTGGCCATTAGGCCCTTAGAAGGTGCTCCCTCCAGATGAAGGTGGTCTACCTGCCTTCTGCTGTCGTTTAGGCCAGTCTCTGAATGGCCTGTCGCCACTTGAGATATTCTTGCTCCTCTGCTAACAACCAAAGCAACTGACTGCCTAGGTCCTAAATCTCTCCACACCTCATCACCTCTGCCTCCCCTCTTCCTGCTCACGTCCTCCTCTTCTGTCCTGCAAATGATCCCGTCTCTGCATGGGCTTCGGGAGTCTCTATGGCGTTCCCCGTGTTTTCCTCTACGTAGCCACAGGAAGAAGGTGCACAGAATTGGATCAGGACCATGCCCCAGGCACTGCACCCTGGGCTGACATATATGTCTCGAGAGCTGACCTGGTTGCCTTTGCCCTGTCATCTCCCTGTCCCCTCCCTGTCCACTGTGCCTCAGTGTCCCGGCCTTCCTTTCTCACCCTGACTTCACCGGAGGGCTCCCACCTCTCTGCCTTGCAGGCAGGTCTTTCGCCTGATTCCCTTCCCAGGCCGCTGTGTGGCCTGTTCCATTTCACCTGGACTTACACTGAATTCTCGTTCATCTGTGTATGCACAGGAGTCTGGGTGCCCACGTGCCACAGCATGGATATGGAGGCCAGAGGACGGATTGAGATGTCGGTCCTTGCCTTCCACTTTGAGACCGGGTCCTCGTTTGTCACTAGCAGGCCATTGAGTTTCTGTGGATCCTTCTGTCTCTTTCTTCCATCTTGCCATAAGAGGGCTAGGATTGTGGATTTGTACTCCTTCTGGCTTTACACACGTTCTGAACATCAGAACTCAGTTCTTTATGCTTCCATGGCAAATGTTTTACCCCTGGAGCCATCTTCCTGCCTTGTCTCAGGTTTTGAGTCTGAATCTCTCTCTCTCTCTCTCTCTCTCTCTCTCTCTCTCTCTCTCTCTCTCTCTCGTCTCTCAGGCTGGACTTGAACTCTTCATCCTTCTGACTCAGCCTCCTGGTTGCTGGAACAGTAGGTGTGGCCACTTTACTTCCTCACTAATCTTTCACTCAGCTTTGCTGTCTTTGATGCTTATTCTCCACACCCCTTGGACTAGAATGTGAGCACTAGGACTCAAGGACATTCCTGTCACCCTCACTGCACCGAGAGCTCAGCAGCTGTGGAGGGAGGAACTGTCTGATGCTAGAGATTCACAGTCGGCAGGCATCAGAGCCTTGGTCTTCGGAAGCTTCTCTGTGCTCCCAGAAGCTTCCTGGAGGCATAGGGCAGCAGGGAGGGGTGTGTGTGTGTGTGTGTGTGTGTGTGTGTGTGTGTGTGTGTGTGTCCACTCATGCCTCCAAGGAAGTCCTTCTATTCTCTTGTTTTGGGGCAGCATAGTGTTAGCTTCAGAGTTTAGAGCTGCCAGGCAGTGATGGCACACTCCTTTAATCCCAGCACTGGGGAGGCAGAGGCAGGTGGATCTCTGTGAGTTTGAGGCCAGCCTGGTCTATAGAGCAAGTTCCAGAACAACCAGAGATGTTACACAGAGAAACCCTGACTTGAACAACCAACAAAAAAAGAAAAGAAAAGAAAAGAAAGAAGAAAGAAAAAAGAAAGAAAGAAAGAAAAAAGAAAGGAAGAAAAAAGGAAGGAAGGAAGAAAGAAAGAAAGAAAGAAAGAAAGAAGGGAAGAAAGAAAGGAAGGAAGGAAGGAAGGAAGGAAGGAAGGAAGAAAGAAAGAAAGAAAGAAAGAAGAAGAAAGAAAGAAAGAGAAAGAAAGAAAATAAGAAGAGGGTTTAGAGTTTATTCTGCCCTGAAATAGCTTGGCCATGACTTTCCCTGTTCCTTGTCCTGTTCAGAGATAGGTATTTCTGTGGAAACTTCCAGATGGCTTTTGA